CTCCCTGGCCAACCCCAAAGAGATTCCTTTGTCCAGCCACCTTTCCCCACTAACAGAAGGGAACAAAAGCAGGAAAGGCCGTTGCACAAGGAGGAAAACCTCTCCACCATATTGGATTTTCTTCTCCCCTTCTCCAAACAATGCCTCGCATTTATAACCTGCAATCTGCCCTCCCGTGGCATCTCCCGGCCTCCAGGGATGCAGGAACCGGGAGAAATCCTCCTGCAAACCTCCGGGGCAGCGGCACTGCCGTGGTTTTTTCCCCCAGGGCTGCCTCCGGCGAGGGCTGCATCCTCCACAATAGGACAAAGCCCCAGCATGGCTCATCCCCTCCCTCCGCCGCACCCCCATCAGCTGTCAGCTTTCCTTAGGGATCACCGGGATGCAGCGACATCGCAGCAAAGGGGGTTTTTTTGGAGGGGGGAATAAGGGGAATTTGACAGGCTCGCCAGCCTCCCATCCCCCTCCTGCTGCAGTCAGGGCTGGATGGAGCCGAAGGCTGCAAAGGCGGAGCGGGAATGGGGATGGAGAGGGGGGGGATAACCAGGGCTGCCTCCACCCTGCACAAACCTGCAGCCACGTTAGGTTTGTGGTACGGGGTGGGGGAGAGGCGGGGGAAGAGATGTGTGAAGGAAAAAAAAAAAGAAGGTAATGATTTCAAAAATAAATAAAAGGCAAAAAAATGCCCGTCGGCGTTTTATTGTCCGAGTGTCCCCCACGCCCTCCCTCCGCAAAACAACCGCATTTCCTGGGGCCCCCTGGGAACGGCGGGGATCGGAGGTATATCCAAACACGAGGAGTTGGTGTAAAATATATATATATATATCTATATATAAATCATATAAAAACCTCACCCAGGGGTCCAGTTAGGGACGGGGAGAAAGACCCAGGGTGGGGACGGGATTGGAGCTGGGGGCTGCTGTGAGAATTAATGATGGGGAAATGGCCCAGGGGTCCCTCCGGGGTGGGGGTCACACGCACCAGACCCCCGGGGTAATGTTGAGGGGCGGAGGATCTCAGGCTGGGCTGGAGATGAATGGGAAAGGATCCAGGGTGGCGGTGGGACTGAAGCAGGGGGGGGTGCTGTGAGAATTAATGATGGGGGAAAGCACTCAGGGGTCCCCAAGGGGGACACATACACCAGACCCCCGGTAATACTGGGGATGGGGACGGGGGGAAGCACCCAAACAGAGGCGGGGGGGCTACGAAGGACAGGTGACAGCTGAATAAAACTACCTGAATGGGGCGAGTGGGGTAATAATCAAGTGAGAAACTGGCGAGGGGATAAAGACCCCAGTGCCCGAGGCGGCGGCGGCTGGCGGCGGCTGGGGGGGGGGGGGGGGCTCAAAGCCAGGCTGGGGGGGATG